TATGCATTGTCCTGATAGCTGATCTTCGCGGTAGTTTCTTGAAACAAATACTGTACGCAATTTCAAGGACTATGTCTGACTACTTACACTTGAAAAAGGCCACCGATAAACGGCCGAAACGTCGTGCAATGCATAACTGACTGTTTGGATTACCCTAGACTGAGTAAACTACAAAAAAATCTCCCTTATATATATATATTTTGGAAATTTAAGAAAAAATCAAATTTTTTGGGTGGTTACGCTTTTTCTTAACATCAGAAAATGTGCGGAAATCATAGTTTTGAGAATATCATTACAATTCCGAGAATTTCAAGGAACATCTGATAACTTCAGGATAGCTCAGAGAACTTCTAAAACGTTCAGAACTACGGGAAGTGTTTTAAGACCCTTAATATTAGGTTCTAATGGTCTCAGGGCAGTTCCACAAAATTTCAGGAAAATTTCAATAACTGTTCCATTACATTCAGGAAAATTGCAGGAGCTGCTCAGAAGTTTAACGATTTTAAACGACTTCAATTGAGTTTAAAGATTTTAAGGGAAGCAACGTGAACTTTGTGACTGTTCTGAGAACTTCAAAATAGTTACTTGAATAACAGGAAAATTGCGGGAACTTCAGTTCTGAGAGCTTCGAATGTAGGGGAAATGCAGGTATTGTCGGCCTAAGTGTCCCTAATTTGGGCCCATACATACATTCAGTAATCGACTAATTTTTCAATAGCAACCAAATATATCCATTAGTAACGTCCTAATAACGCGTTCATCTAGATAAAATTGATAAATAGCAGATTTTTAGCGATGGGCCCAATATTAGAGCCATAGGCCAACATTAGAGACATTTCCCCTGTTTCGAGAACTTTAAGGCAGTTAGAAAAATTGTGAGAAATTACAAGAATTTCAAAAAATTAAACATTTTCAGGGAAGTTAAAACAACTTAATAGCAGTTTTTGAAACTTCAGAGTGATCCACATATTTTTTAGGAACTTTAAAGGAGATCCGAGGAATGAAAGGAAGTAATTGGGATTTTTAGAAAATTTCATGTACAGACTGCGGGATAATAGGGTAAAACTTCTATAACATTTTGGGCACTTCAGGAAAGCTTTGAGAACTTTCAGGAGGTTCCATCAGCTTCATGGAAACTGCAGAAACTTTTAAGAAGTCCTAATATTTTCAAGAAAGTCAAGAAAACAGAGAGGTCCAAAGAACTTGTAGATACTTAATTGAAATTCCAAGAACCTAAGAAAACCTAGTTCTTGAGATCTTTAGAACAGCTCAGAGATCGTAGGGGCATTCCAGACTTTTGGGGAACTTTAAAGATCCGCAGAGTATAATTTCTATAAATACAGTATAGCTCCATGCATTCTAGGAAAATTTCGATAAACTTAAGTCCAGAGAACTCCTGATCAATTTAGAAAACTTCATATATATTTTGGAAGCAAGTCCAAAAAATTTCAGGGGAAATCTTCAGGTGTAGAATTTTGTGACAACTGCACGTACTTCTGGATTGAGATGATTAGAGATCCTCAATGCAGTTGAATTAACGTAACTAAAAACTCAGGGAATTTCTAAAAACTTTAAGCAACGTTGTTAGATCTTCAGAGAAGTTCTGAGAACTTCAGAAAAGCTTTTATATTTTTAGGCACTTTCATTATTTTTTTAAAGTTCAGAGATCTTCAAAGCATCTCCTTTAATTAATTACTAGAACTTTCAATAATTTCCGAAAATTCCAAAAATCTCAGCAAAAACTAGCCAGAAATTTTCAAATAAAAGAGATAACAATTTAGTTGCTTGAGCAAATTATCGTATAAAAAGATATTTAAAGAAAGCGGATTTCTTAGGGACCACCCTAACCTGCTTGTTTAAAATAATCATAACTCATGAACCATATGAAGTACAAATTTGATGCCTTCAGCAAAAATGCGCCAATGGAACTAAAAGTAAGAAAATCGGTTTCCTCCATCCCTAAATGGAGGAAACCGATTTTCTTACTTTTAATTCCATTTGACAATTTTTTCGAAGATAATTTCCTTTAACTTTCTAATCAAAAAAGATAGCTGGTTGCTTTAGCAAAAATATGCGTAATCAAAAGTTCTAAAAGTGTCTAGAATAATGTGTTTATGATAAATGAACGTATGCAAAAATATTGAAAGAAAACTGTTTTTTAGGGGCCACCCTAAACTGCTTGTGTAAAAAATCATAACTCATGAACCATAAGAGATGGAAATTTGGTGTCTTCAGCAAAGTTGCTTCGAATTGATTGTTCTCCATTGTTCTCTTTTTAGAATACTGCATTGGTCTATCTCTCATAATAAAGAAGTTGGTATTTTCAATTCATTCATCAATTTTATGGACCACCCTAATTTCACTAGCATTTCGATTTCACAGATCGGCCAAAAAATATGATGAAACTTTCCCGAAGACACCATATACCTTAAAGTGATGGTTTGAGAGCAAACATTGTTATCTTCCTAAATACGGCTTTGGGACCATTGTGCATTGTCATGGAGAAACGAATCACTTCAGGTTAGTCCAGATATGTCAGGAAAGTTTTGAGATTTTGAGCTTGACCTTAAGTTTCGAAAACTTCAGGGAAGTTTTGAAAAATTCGTTGGAGTTTAGAGATCTTTAGGGCAGTACCAATAACTTCAGAGATGCATCGAAAACTGCTGAAAAGTCTAGACTTTTAAAGTTCTAAAAGAATTATTAATTATGTTTGGGTTTCGATCCAGGGATTGGTATGAACGGAAGATGGTACTGTATTATATCCCATGAAGATCAAGTCCAAAGACTGAAACGTCGGGTATAAAACATGTCGTTTTGATCCACCGTTAAAACTGAAGATCCAATACCCAAAATATTAGTTTTTTTTTTAAGTTTTGTTGATCGCACTGATTCCAGACAAATTTTACCCGTGCTCTAGTTTTGTGTGTTCTTCTCTTAATAACGATTATGGACGCTCCTTAAAGGCGGCGCACATATGCATAATCAGTGACTAACCAACTCTAAATTTACCATGACAGCACTGGTCATCATGATGTTGATGATGATATGCAACTACCACTCACTGTTGCAAGACAACTGTCAGTGACTATGGAGTGTCCTCGATTTGATCAAGTTTAATAAACTCTAATTATACTTAACCTGTCATTGTATGAAGGGCCAAAAACGGTTTGGGTGAATCCGTGGGCAACATCGCCCACGTTCATCCACGGGATAAATGAGAATCTTCTTCCAACATCAGGATCATACAATCGTTCAAAAAACAAGTTGTGGGGAGAAGAACCCACCCTCAATTCACGAAATGTTAAAGACATGGAATTGGCATTTCCACTCTCCCCATCCATTTCGCTTCAATCGGATGCCCTGGTGGACCCTCCCGTACCCAGCATATAATGTTTCATATAATAATCCAATGAAAGTTAAGAGAAAAATAAAGGAAAGATCCGGTGATTTCGAAAAGCTTCCATAGATATGCTGCCGCTACTTTTTCAACCAATGTTGAAAACAGCACTCTCGCCTTGCTTTCCTCACACAGTAACCTCCAACAACCACGAAACACACTCTAGCTGCTCCGACTAGAGGGATCTCAGCAAAGAAAAAAGGACTGCGACCACTTTGCGTCAACAATCACTCGTGACGCAACGGCTTCAGTTCACCAGTACACAGTCTGGAAGACGCAGCGCTAGCCCCTCACCGGCCGAATCATCCCGCGACCAACGCCTAAATCAGAACCGACAACTCCAGCGACCGAAAACAAACGCGTCTTATAGAGATTTTCACGTCCGGTTGTATTGGTGCGATATGTAAGAGCATGTTAGTGAAAATCCGAGGAAAAGGAAATCGCTGTCAAACTCATTTTGGCAAATCTAATTTCATATATTTTTAGGTTAGTCTGAGGAAAATAATAAACAACTCTACACGGCGATGCAGCCGCTAATGTGCGGCCGTTTAACGTCACTAATCTCTATAGTGGCCACGGCACACTTCGATTGCATGTCTGAAACACAATCTACGCTCAAACACGACGACGAAAACATTCGACAAGCTACTTTCGGCCGGGAGGCGGAACGCCAACAAGCAGCAAGCAAAGAGAGGCAAAAAAAATACACACACACACACACACACACACACACACACACACACACACACACACACACACACACACACACACACACACACACACACACCACACACCACACACCACACACCACACACCACACACCACACACACACACACACACACACACACACACACACACACACACACACACACACACACACACACACACACACACACACACACACACACACACACACACACACACACACACACACACACACACACACACACACACACACACACACACACACACACACACACACACACACACACACACACACACACACACACACACACACACTCACACACACTCACACACACACACACACACACACACACACACACACACACACACACACACACAGAGCATGGCACTAGCTGAACTGCTAACGTTGAAAGCCAACCCTAATAAAAATTGTATGGTTAATTTGCTTAACGACGTGTTCTGGGTATCATCCAAACAATTTGTGGAATAGTTCAATGATTTGGGTTATCGTTCGTTTATGGTTATTTTTTATTAGGGAAACGTGGACTGCATGACAGCACTGGTCATCAATGCTCATACTCATGGTCAATAATTTTTGGTTGTCATATTATTTAAGGTTGCCTTAGCTGAAATAAGTCATATGAACAAATTTACAGATGGTAAAGCGAATATTTAGTAAACTTTATTTTGTACTGTGAGAAATACTTCATAAGTATGGCACGGTTTCATAGTCAATCTCAACAACTTCAAAACATACATAACATCTCTAATCACGCCTTCCTTCGGAAGGGAAGTAAAGCCGTTGGTCCCCGGTTCATGAATTGATGGGTCGATAGGTAGGGTCTAGGTGTTGGAGCTGCCGCCGTGGCGTCGGTAGCATTGGTGCTCAACACGGAAAACAAAATCAAGGGAAAAAACATAAAGGTCCACAATTGCACAACCGCTCTACCCGTAGCTGAGATTTTCCAGGTCAAACTGGAGCAGCATTACCAAATACGTAGCAAACGACCCGGTCATCTGCGGAAACAGGAAAACAGAAATTATCTAGAGAGTTTCTCGAACTACAGTTCTAGTTTCGAACCGTATACAGCATAATCCAATCCAGATCGAACAAAACACACGAGACCTTCGGTGTGTGATGCCGCAGCTGAAGCGAGAAGATCCTCAATTCCTTCGCTATTCTTCGATGGTAAGATCCATAGGAGATTGCCTTGTGGACTAGGGTCGACGTCCGTTTGCACTGTATTGACCAAGATTCAAGCTAAATGCTTACACAAAGATTGACAATAACGCCTTACATACCTTATCGTTGACGATGCCGGCCATTACGATCATCTGCAAAGCGAGGACGAGGAAGAACCCATCGTACATTACGTTGGCCCACGCGATTCGAAGGTTAGTGTCGTCCACATTGCCGGCATAAGCATGTATCAAACTGAACCAGGTGAACACTGTGAAACTGAAGGCAGATGTCAGAGCGTGAAGTGCTTGAATGCCGTAGCAGTGATTGAACAGGTCAACCGTATCGCTCAGAAGATCGTGCATACCGGCGAGCTTCCGAATTAGATGACAAGTGTGTTCTGGTTTAGCTGGAGTTGTTGTTGTAAGGCATTTTCTGGGAAGTAGTGAAATCGTAACTCTGGCATTTAAGTTAATCGGATGATACTCACTCGGTAGCTTCATGCAGCTTATCGAAAACATTTTTGACCGACAGCAACGTCAAACAGTAGAGACATGTAAACATTCCAAGACTAGTAGATGACCTGAACATGACCAGTATCGCCGTCCAATCCGGAAACATCTCGGATAAATCGAGCCAGTCATCGCTGGAGCGGCAAGTACATGCTACAATCAGAACGAACAGTCCCATGTTCATCCATAAACACGAGTTCACGGTACATATGAAGTGATGCTTTTGATGGTTGACATTCACACCCAGTGTTTGCAGTTCGACATCGAGCTCTTCAATGTTCGTGAATATCTGGAATTTAGCTTTCGCTGCGAGTCGCATCTTCGGAGCCAGGGCCAGAGCGAAGAAGTAGGTTGACACAATTGCCGAGTAGCATCCTACGTTAACGAGCACTGAATCCGTGAGACGGAGATAAGCCAAACTGCTTTGGACACCTTGGACAGTGAGGTAGACATCTGCTAAAAGCGTCAGGATGAACCGGAACTGATCGGGAAGGGTCCGGTGGTGTATTCGGTTCTCGAAATCGATAGATTCAAAGTCAAAGTGGAGGAGCTTTGTCGCTAGATAGAGCGGCCGGATGGAGTCGAAATAACTGTGCACCTTGAACCAACGCATGGCGAGTAAAGAGTAGCTACGGCACGGAAGGGGTGCGTTTATGTACATACATTATTTTCATTGATTGCAGTAATAATTTCCTGGAGCCGTTTCTACGTGGTTTGAATTACTTATTAGGCTCGGGAATGCTTATAATTTATTACTTGTATTCATATAGCTAAGTGAAGTTGACCAAATCAAACTGCAGCAGGATAACGATATATGTAGTAAACGATCCAGCCATCTATGGGAAAAAAGAAACAATTGACAAATGCGTTTATGACAGAATTTCCAAATCAAACCGCATAGAGAAGGGTCCAATCCAAGTCGAAGAAGCTGCAGGAAATTTTGGGATCACGATGCCACATCTGTTGCGATAAACAGCGTAGTTCTTCGAGAACCCGCCTGTCGTACGTCTTATAGCAGCTGACCTTGTGAATCTCGACTGCAGTCCGCTTGCTCTGAAAGTTTAATCGAGGATACTTCATCTCAAGGAATGTTTAGTCTAAATTCTAAATATGCTCTTACTTCTCTGTATACACGACTGGAAAACAAAATCATTTGCACAATCAATTGAGAGTACAACGAGGCGTAGAACAAGTTATTCCACGACATGAAAACTGTAACCTGGTTTGCGCTGGATGCAAACGAATGAATCAGTCCAAAGATGGCGACAATTATGAATGCCAATAACACGGTAAGGATGTATGCTATGTGATCGGAGTAGCAACAGTTGAACAGCTGAACTGTATCGCTTAGTTGATCATGCATTTCGGCAAATTTTCGAATAACACAAGTTTGTTCGGAATTGATCGATGCAGGTTGCATAAACATGCGATGGTGTCTTCTGTCAGGATAAACCGTATTAATCATAATATTCAGAACATTCAAGGAATTCAATTATTACCTGATAGCTTCCTGAAGCTTGACGAATCGTTCCCTTATCGAAAGTAGCATCAAATTGCTGTAGCAGATAAATATTTGTATATTGGCCATTGTCCGTCCCAAAGCTACGATCATTAGATCATAAGATATTATATCGTGATAGTATTGACAGCAACCGGTGATTCGTATTAGTCCAAACCCGATTGTAAACCATGACACGAAGAACAGTATAGTACAAATGTAAACTGTACTGATGAAGTGATGCTTACGATGATTCACGTACACTCCCAACTTCAGCAGCTCTCGATCACAGTGGACAACGTTTTCGAAAATTTGAAACATTTCCCGATACTTGTAGCGATTCCACAAAGGCAACTGAAAGGAAAACAAGTGTAACGCAAGTACGGTGCAGTACCAGCCAACATTGATTAGAGTGGAATCAGTTGCTTCTAAGAAGACATCACTGCTTTTAAAACTGGAGTACAGTAGGTAAATATCTAGCAATATGGTTAAAACGAATCGGAATTGGTCCTGCAGTTTACGGCTGGTCGTTTGCTGTTGAAAGTTGATTGTCTCGAAGTGAATGTGACAAATTTTGGTCGCTAGATAAACCGGACGGAACGAGTCTAGGTAGTTGGATGCGTTGAACCAGCGCATCGTGATGGACTGTTCGGGATGTGAGGTTCTTCGACGAATTTGGTGCTTGAGTTTTGTTTAATAATTCAGAGAGTGCTTAATAAAAGCCATAGATGATTTATCGTGTTGTGCTATTCCGCAGACAGATGCACGTAACTCTTCATGCTGAATCATCGCCATCGTAAATCTAAGTTTTACAAATATGGGTGAACTTGATAAGTTTTTCTACTTTAATATTAATGAGACGAACTCAACCAATGTCGTTATTAAGTTCCGTGACGATGTGTTGTTAAGTTAATGTGGTTCAAACAGTTACGTCTGTTTGTCTCTGTCAGTTGTCTTCATCGATTTAATCATTAATTAACTCATTTACTAAAATTTCATCAATCTCGCTGTTGATCTATAAAATTAGCTTTTACTGCCCATGTCCACCTTTTGACGAAGTTAATCTAAAGAGACACTAAAGAGACAGGTGATTTTTTCATCAATGAATTCCTAAATATTGAGGTAGATACACCTTTTATGCACAATTTGGGACTTTTGGTGTGTTCCAATTATGTTCAATGGGAATTCCATAGGTCATAATTGGAACACACCATAGTTAATAGTAACGTGTGGCCGTAACTGGTACACTCATCCAATATAATATTCGTTCAATCTCGAAATTCTTAACTTTTTCTTAGTAGATACCAAACATTAAGTCTGAGACCCAAACAAAACAAATGTCCCAGAGTTTCATAAATTTGTCAAGAAAAAAACCTTGTCATTTTTTTTTTCTAAATGATTGCAGATCCTGAAAAAAAATACCAAATGTCAGACCAAAGTTTTGGTTAACTTAACAGTTTAAATAAATTTATAACTTCTAGAACCCTGAGATCTTTTAATGCCACAGAATACTTCTAGAATACTTCTCCATTCCTTACCTCGGAATTCTCCTCAGAACTCCATAAAAGTTTTCTTGAAATTCTTATCATAATTATCTTGGAACTATTCTCAGGATTCTCCTGCTCATGCAATTCACCCGAGGTTTCCAAAAGTATTGTCCCTAAATTATCTTGGAATTCACATCAGAATTCTCTTGAAACTCTTCTTAAAATCCCTTGATAGAATCTTTTAGAATATCCTTAAAACTATTCTGAGAATTCGATTCCCTTGGAATTATGCTCAAAATTCTCTTGGAACATACGTCTGAATCTTCCTGGAATTCTACTCGGAATTCATTGGAAATTTGCTCAAAAATCTCTTTGAATTGTTCTAGATTTCCCTGGAATTCTCCTCACAATCCCTGCCTCTTCAGAAGTACCTTGGAGTTTACCTTTATTCCTCCTTACAAATTTCTTGAAATACATTTGAAAAATACCTCGAACTTCTCCTCAGAATTTCTTTAGAATTATCTCTAGAATGTCTTAAAATTTTACCCAAGCGATGATTTATTTGAAATCTGAGATCTTTACAATTACGGTGTGTTATAAATTTTAAATTTTAATATATCGAAAAGTTGAAAAATTGACCTAGTCTCGAAATCTCTAAATTTTCTTATGTGATTTCGACAAATTTTACAGTCCGACATTCTAATGCTATGACACGTATCTTTTTTTTTCTAAATAAATTTCCAAATTCAAATGACCCACTCAGCCTTCGAAAAAATTTCAAGTAATCAAAATAAATTTCAAAATACCGATACACTTAAAAACTTTTAAAATTTCTGTCTTATGTATGCTAATTTATTTAAAATATGATTCAAAATTTGTCAATTTGATGCAATCTCGGAGCCTTCTGGAGTATTCCTATTTGCTATGAGTAGCTATTTATATAAAACCGGGTAAACTATGATTCTCGATGCTCAACAAATCACACACTAGCTTTCATTTCTCACATTGCACATCATCTTTTTGCAGGAAGTCTTAAGAATCTTCATTAATCTTCTTTCTATCTACTTTATTGATGCCGCCCTCTCCGTATTCTACGGCAACATCTATAAAGTAATCCAAGATACTGTTCCGGTGAAGACACGAAAATCTTGTTTGCAATTCCAACAACCTTGGTGGAATCCGCAATTGCGTAATCTGCGTAACCGTCTGCGTAAAGCTCGAAAACGTTACTTTCATTCCCGGACCGCAGCAAACAAGTATACGGTGCAGCTAGTAGAAGCAGAGTATAATAGTTTGCAGGAAGCTCGCTTTCGTGAGTACGTCGACAACCTCCAGAGGGGTTTCAAGGAAAATCCATCGTCGTTCTGGTCTTTTATCAACTCTCGGAAAAGATCAGCTGGTATTCCCGTGGACGTCACCTACGGTAGTAGAAGCTCCACCACCGACACCGCTTCTGCTGACCTTTTCGCTGACTTTTTCCGAAGTGTTTTCGAACCCGATCAAACTTCTCCACCGCAGCAATACATTGATTAGCTACCAAGATACGACATTCACCTGCAGCAGCTCATCTTCAGTCAAGACGCTATTCTCAAAGCCCTTTGCTCAGTCGATCCATCAAAAAGGTCCAGGCCCGGACCGTATTCCACCGTCTTTCGTCAAGAACTGTGCAGCATCGTTGGCCACTCCCGTTATGTCTATTTTCAATCGATCGCTTAAGGATGGCGTTTTTCCGGATGCCTGGAAGCTCGCCTCAATTACACCAATCTTCAAGTCCGGTAACATGCACAAAGTGGAAAATTACCGACCTATCTCGATCCCGAACTGCTTGGCCAAAGTTCTCGAAAGTCTTCTGCATGAGAAGTTGTATCCAGCTGTTCAACCCATAATCTCAGAGTTTCAGCATGGAGTCATGAAAAAGCGCTCGACAGTCTCTAACTTGATGACTTACACGAACACTCTTATAGGTAGCATCGAGAAGCGTCAGCAAGTGGACTCCGTTTATATCGACTTATCTAAGGCTTTTGACAAAGTCCCTCACGACCTAGCCATTATGAAGCTAAACCACCTTGATCTTCCACCGTGGATCGTTTGTTGGTTGAAATCATACTTATCGTCCAGGAAGGCTGCTTGGTTCCAGATCCGAAGTATTCCATATACCATCGATGGTTCCACAAGGGAGTCGCCTAGGACCTCTCATTTTCGTTCTGTTTATTAACGACGTGTGTGATAAGCTAAGTTCCTGTAAGTTGCTATATGCGTGTGTGATGTGTGATCAAATCGATCGTGGATTGTTGCGCACTACAAGCTGATATAGAGCGATTGTCATCCTGGTGTCAGATGAATGGAATGCAAGCCAATGCTGCCAAATGCAAAGTGATTACCCTTACCCGCTCTCACTCTCCGATCATTTTTGATTACTCTATGAATCAATCGCCGCTGGAAAGGGTTAATGCCATTAAGGATCATGGGCTCATCTTGGACAGCAAACTACGGTTTAACGAGCACATATCCATGACAGTTGCAAAGGCCAACTCCATGCTAGGATTTTTGCGCCGCAATACTGCACAATTCGACGACGTGTACGCCCTGAAAGCGTTGTACTACTCTATGGTCCGCAGTGTTCTTGAATATGGAGTACAAATTTGGGCTCCATATCATGCTGTTCATGTACTGCGCATTGAGAGAATCCAGAAACAGTTTATAAAGTTTGCATTACGACGTCTGCCATGGACAAATCCAGATCGCTTACCTCCGTACGAGCATAGATGTGCGCTTATTGGACTGCAAACACTAACAAATCGCCGAGTCTTTCTCCAGAGGATGTTCATATTTGACATGATTAGTAATCATATTGACTGCAGTTGTTTGCTCGGGAACATCAATTTCCACACTCCAGCTCGCCGTCTCCGCAACTATTACTTTCTGTGGACTCCCGGACATCGTACTGCTTACGGTTATAACAATCTCTCGATAGATGTTGCAGACTGTTTAATGATGTGTGTGATGTTTTTGATTTTAATATAAGTAGACCAGTTTTTAAGAATAGGATTAAGTCACTTTCAACAGTCTGTATGGCTAAAATGTCAAAGATGGAGGGCCCTTTTATAAAGTTATGCGAGCATTACGTCATGTGTCCTTTTTTAGTAAACACGGCACCGCTCAAACGTCAATTTTTTTCGTGAATTCATTCCGTGCATTGGTTAATTAGGTACTGCAGCGTGACGTCACAAATGAACTCAGTGTTAATCGGCTGAACCTTTTCGACAGTTCAGTGGTACTGTTTACAAGCACTTAGTCGTTTTTTCGAAAAAAAATATTCTAAAATTTCCGAATTTAACTTGAAAATTGTTGTTGAAAGCAACAATCAATACGAAACTAACGATTTCAAACTGGCTCACTACTTGACTAGCCTATTGGTCCCAAGCAAATCGATTAACGTACCCCCTTCTAGTATAAATTCCAGCACTACTCTATGTTTGTTTAGCTATGAAAGTTTGACAGATAAAATGAGGGGTTAGTGGATTTTCCTATGTTTCGAGGGGTGAATCGATTAGCTTGGGACCGAAGATAGTACCAGAGCTGAGCCAAAAAGTAGAGCTCGTTTCTTCGGGACCTTCTGGTCTTAGAGTTACCTCTATGGTGAAAGGATGTTGCTCGTGGACAATGCAGAAGTGCGGTTTACATCTCACTGCAGTCTGAAAAATTATCGAGAAAATCTACCCATGAAAAAACAGGGGCGGGATGTGCTGTCAAATCGGCCTACTGAAAATCCATCAATGAGATGTAAATGTGTAAGGCTCATTGAGTTTGCCATCTCTTTCGTTTTCCCGCTGTTTAAACGGTTGAAGGAGTGTGACGACAAACTCCAATCCATATAATTAGCCGGATTACGAAAGAGACGATAAATTTACTGGGCCCCACCTGTTTACGCTCATTGATTTGCCATATGTGAATTTGGTTCCAAATATCAACAAACCATCGTAGCTTATGGCTTTGTTGTCGATTGGAACCAGTGATGCGAGGTAGGCGACAATTGTTCGTATTTAACAGTCACCTCTCACCCACCAGAGTAAAAATCGACTAAGTCCAAGTAAACAGTAGCACTGAACTGTCATCAGATTGAGGTTAACCCCGACGGTGCAAAACCTAATGTTTGATACACGCTATTTCAAAACTACAAAAAATTAGATAGAATCCCCC